AGAAGGGAGCTCTGCAAGCTTAGCTGCACCCATGTAGGACAAAATTTCCCTTAAGCTGAACTAGGGGTGGGAAAGGGTGGGGAAAGATAGTGATTCAAATGCTGCAGACATTCTCCTGTTAGATTTTTTTGAATATCTTCATTTGCTGTATGCTTTTAGGACAACTTCCAGAGACTGTAAATGATTTTTAAAAAATAATTTTTCACCAGTTTTGCTTACTCACTGGGGGATGGGTACACAAGAACTCAGGCAGTCATCCTAGAAATCTTCTGTGTCATTCTTTTTAAATATTCACCTGTGATAAAATACATGTAACATGAAATTTATCATCATAACTCTTTTTAAGTATATAGTATGGATTTTCATTTTATTCTACAACGAATTTCCAGAACTTTTTCATCTTGCAAAACTGACATTCTATAATCATTAGATGTTTATTTCCCACTTCTCCATTCTCCTAGTCCCTTTCTGTCTCTATGAATTAGACTATCTAGGTACTTCCCATACGTGGAATCATACAATATTTGTCCTATGTGACTGGCTTATTTCATTTAGAGTAATGTCATCAAGGTTCTTCCTTGGAGTGGTGTGCATCATAATTTACCTTCTTTTTTAAGGATGAATAATATTCCATTGTATGTATTTGCCACATTTTGGTTATTTCTCTGTTGATGGACATTTGAGTTTGACTATAGATTGAACATATCTAATCTGAAGTGCTCCAAAATTTGAAACTTTTAAAGCACCAACGTGATTCATTGTGGAAAATTCTACATCTGACCTCATATGACTGCATTAAAAATATTGCATAAAATTACCTTTAGGCTGTGTGTATAAGGTATATATGAAACAAATGAATTTTGTGTTTAGACTTGGATCCCATCCCTAAGATATCTCATTATGTATATACAAACACTCCAGAGTCCAAAATCTAAAATACTTCTTTTGGTCCCAAGCATTTTGAATAAGGATTATTCAACCTGTATCATGAGTAATATTACTATGAACAGGAATATACAAATATTTCTTTGAGACTCTGCTTTCAGTTCTTTTGGGTATATGCCCATAAATTTTTGGAATTTCTGGATCATATAATAATTTTGTTGTTTTTTGGATACTGGGTATTGAACCTAGAGACATTTTATCACTGAGCCACATCCCCAGTCCCTTTTTTTAGTTTTCATTTTGAGACAGGATCTGAGTAAGTTACTGAGGCTGGACTTAAACTTGTGATCCTCCTGCCTCCTGAGTTGCTGAGATTATAGGCATGCCCCACCATGCCAAACAGTGATTTACTTAGGAGCTGTTTGTGGTTTTGGTTTGTGATTTCCTAAAGAATAGTCATGTTCAACCTCTTTGCATATACCTATTGGCTATTCATACATTTTCCTTTGAAAACTGTTTAAAACTTTTTTTTTGTAACAATATGGATGCTTCTAGAGGTCATGTGCAGTGAAAAAAAAACAGAGAGACTAATATACATAATCTCATGAGACCTGTTGTACATTGTGACTACGGTTAATATTGTATTTTTAAAAAATATTTTAGTTGTAGATGGACACAATATCTTTATTTTATTTATTTGTATTTGTTATGTGGTGCTGAGGATTGAACCCAGTGCCTCACCTGTGCTGGGCAAGCACTCTAACACTGAGCTAGGCAAGCACTCTAACACTGAGCTACAACTCCAGCCCTAAAAATGTATTTTTGAAATTCCTAAGAGTATTTTTAAGTGTTCTCACCAAAAAAGTAAGTATCTGAGATAATACATATGTTAAATTAATTCCTATTTGTCAATTAAAAAATAAATAAAAGAATGATGATGTTTTAAAAAATTTTAAAAAATATCTGTTTTCAGCTCAGATTTCTTTTATCCAAGATATTGGAAGACTTCCTCTGAAGCAACACTTTAGAAGGTAAGAAGAGCTGTTACTGAAATATCCACTGAATATACTCAACATACATAAATAAAAGTTATATGTCAGATACAAAAATACATATATTACATCCAGTGATTAAAGACCTTTTAATTACACTGTTGATCCTTCATTTTATTCAACATCATATGTTCACCCTTTCCTGATAGAATATATCAGAATAGTGAGACCTTATATCAAAATAAAAAGGGCTGGGGCTGTAGCTCAGTGGTAAAGTGCCCCCTGGGTTCAATCCCCAGTATTGCCCCCCAAAAAGGACCAGCTCTCTTTGCTGTCTCCATCCTGAGATCAAGACATAAAAATAGAGGGAGGATAAGTATTTTCTATTGTCTTTTTGCTCCTAAAATATAAGTAAATGCATTGAAATCTTTACTATTTAATCATCGATTCAACTATGTGATCTGACTTGGAGGCAGGATTTGTTGATGTTCTGAATTACAGTGACTAGTACTGTTATCTTTATGTTCCCATATTTAATATCTTGATTCATATTGATAATATTTACTATTTATTAAATATTAACATTTAACTTAATATTTAATAGCTGCATGATTTCCTGTAATTTAACACATACCTTATTTTGTATATTTAGCTCCTTTTCAACTTTTGTTATCATAGCCTTGTAAATAACCCTTTCTGCACATCAAATATTATTTACTTGTATGAACTCCTAGAAATGAAATGCTGTGTCAATAGGTCTGTTCCTTTTTGAGGCTTTTGGTCTCTGTTCCCAGGTTGCTGGCAAGAATATTTTGTCAATTTTATACCTACTTTCACGGTATTAGTATGTTCTTTTTCTTTAAACTATCCATCAACTGGGTTTTATTACTTTACTGTTATTTTATTTGATTGATTGCAGTACTGGGGATTGAACCTAGGGGCACTCTACCACTAAAGCAACATCGTCAGCCTTTTCTAAGCATTCTTTCTTCCTTTATTTATTTTTTGGGGTGCTAACGATCAAACCCAGGGTCTCACATGTACTAGGCAAGCACTCTCCCACTGAGCACCCCTCCCCCTGCAGCCTTTCTTTTTTCTTTTTTTCTTTGTTTGAGACAGGTCTTGCTAAATTGCTAAGACTGATCTTGAACTTGTGATCCTCCTGCCTTAACCTCCCTAGTGGCTAGGATTACAGGCATGCTTCACTGAACCTTGCTTGGGTTTTATCCCTTCAAAAGTGTCTTTGCCAGGAGGGCCCATTGGTACATGTCTGTAATCCCAGCTGCACTAGAGGCTGAGGCAGGAGGATTACAAGTGCATGCCAGCCTGGGCAACTTGGTGAGATCTGGTCTCAAAGCAAAAATAAATTGGGCTAGGATTGTAACTCAGTAGTAAAATTGCTGAGCGTGCGCAAGGACCTAGGTTCAACCCCCAGTATGGCAAAAGAAAAAAAAAATTCTTACTATTTTAATTTCAGTTTTAAAATTTACAAAGTTAGAGCAATTTGTTTAGTAACACTTGTATTTCTTTAATAAGTTTTCTATTTGTGCCCATTTTTGGTGGTTTTTTTTTTTTTTTTTTTTTTTTTCATTTTAGTCTGTAGGAACTCTTTACTAAAGACATAACCCTCTTTGCATTGTTAGTTATAAGAACTTATTCAGTTGTTCACCTTGTGGTTGGGCTGCCATCCCACTCCCACCCTAACCCCCACCTCTGAATGGGGATGGAACCCAGAGGCACTTTATCATGATCTACATTTCCAGCCCTTTTAATTTTTTGAGACAGGGTCTTACTAGGTTTCCCAGGGGCTGATCTCAAACTTGAGATACTCCTGCCTCAGCCTTCTGTATAGCTGAGATTACAGGTATGTAGTATGGTACCCAGCTTAGTTTTGGTTTTTATAGTTAAACTAAAGGGACTGGCTAAACAGTGTACACAGTGAAGATAAATGAAGGACCAGAGGAGGTGGTTTCAAAATCATCACACTCATACTATAAAGTAATCCCCTCCTTGTATACAATTAATATCTGCACTATGAATCTGACAGATTGAAAATGGAAGCCCTGATGGACAGAGAGCATGGATTGATAGACCCTGACACTGGAAATGAAGCACAGCTTAATGGAGCACAGACTACAGAGGAAAATCAGGGTGAACCCACTCAGACTGCTGAACCAGAAATTCTTCCTTTGAGTCAGAATAGTGGGAGTGAACTGCCTGCTAGCCAGCCTCAACCTTTTTCCTCCCAAGTGGACATGGAAGAAGAAGATATAATAATAGAAGATTATGAGAGTGATGGAACATAGAAATCAGCCTTGACAGATTCAAGTAGTACTTGAACAGAGTTAATATACTTTTCTGGTGAATTATAGACAATTTAATTATTATTATAGTATTTCATCACAAGCAACTTGACTCTTCTGTCATCTTGAATTAAATAGAAAATCAAACCTTCAAGTACTCTTCTTAACTTTTTTTTTCTCTAGTATTTATTTAGTCTTGTGAATGGGTTAGGGGAAGGAGATCAGTGTGTATTGTTTGAACATTATACCAAATATCAGAAAATGTGAAGGAATCATCCAGAAATCAAAACCTTTATGTTGTAAATATGAATCACAAAATAGTATCAGATGCAACTGAGTGTAAATAAACTTTGTGCCTTATTTACAGTTTATTGTCTCTAGCTTCTCAGATACTGTTTTTTATATGTTGTACAGTATAATATTTTAGAAACTTTTTGGAAATATTTACATAATTTATGTCGAAATTAAAATTTTGGATTTCATTCGTTTCTCGTATTTTTTTAACGTTGTTTACTTAACTGCCATGTGTCCCTAAGGCACTGTGCACTCATCCTTCATCCATTATCAAACCTTTCAAAAGGTAGGGAAGGGGACGCTGGCCACCTTGCTCTGAGACTCTCCTGAAGAGGTTGCTTAATTACCTTCTTTCTCAAAGCGCGGTTCCCAGCGGTAGCCGGGAGTTAACCCCGCTGCGAGGTTCTGGGTGGGGGGCACCTAGCAGCTGGGCTCACTGGAGAGTCCGGGCTGACAAAGCCGGGCGGGGCGAAGCTTGCTCGGCCCACCCCTGCCCCGCCTCAGAACCCGATCCCGGTTTCGGTGCCCTAGGCGGCGCGTGCTCTTCCCGGCCGCAGCGCAGGTGAGTGGGGCGCAGGGTGGAGCCGCGTGACCCGAACGAGACGGAAGGGCCCGGCGGCCTCTACAGGTGCGCGGGGCGGGAGAGCCCTCAGCCCCTCTGGGCGCCCCCCACCCCCGCACGCCCCCGGAGCTCCCCAGCTGCCGCGCTCTCAGTTCAGGCCCGCGATACCCGGCGACGCAGGCCGGATCCGCGGCGGGATCCGCGGCGGGGACGCACCGGCGGGAGGGCGGGGAGGGAGGGCCCCGTCCCGCGGGGTTCCGCACCGCAGGTGCTGCCGTCCTTCCGGCTCGCGGCGGTCGCCCCCACTGGAATTCGGGCTGTCTTGACCTGGGACTTCTGGCGCGACTTAGTTCCGGTCACTTTGGGGCCGAATCCCGAAAGAGTGTATTTTCAGGAGGAACCCGAAGGCGGGACGCTTCCAGGGGGTGGGTAAAGCGATGGACAGTGGACTCTGGGACCCGGTGCCCAAAGGCTCGGGGGGGGGGGGGGAGATGCTCTGTCCCTGGCAGTCCCGCAGGGGCCTCCCCTGCTCCCCCATCCCCAAGAGGCCCAGAAATACCTGAAATCGATCCTTTTCTTGGGCCCAGCAAAAATTGAAAGCCAGGAAAAAGCGGTGATTCTGGGAATGTAAAAGTAACCTAGCGTGATTCCCTTGACACTTCGCCGAGGGAACCATTTCTCTTCACCACCGCTGTGACTTGCCTAAGGTTCCAGCAGAACTGATGGAGTCAGGGTCCTGGTCCCGAATTAAACAAAGACCGGCTCCGCCTAGGCGAGCTGAGGACTCTCACACCCTGAAGGCATTAGGTGTATCCAGATATTTAACATGAGAGAAAATACCGCTGACTTTTCCCTTTTAAGATATTTTGCTTTTCTACAATTCAAATTTAAAATTGTTGCTTTTAATTTAAGCATTGATAAAGTGGTCTGACTCAAATAAGCCACTTTTCTCAGGTGAAGATCAGTGAGATTAAGCTCCTGTAGGTTCATATATATCATAGATATTGAGCGGCATTATGTAAAACTTGCCGAAGTTACTTGTGTTTTTTACTGTATGTTTCTTAGGAATGTATTTCAAAAACTACACTAGTAGAGAAAAAAAGAAATACTGTACTAAGTACTGTGCATTTCATTTCCCTTTTTGCTGTGCTGAGAATGGAACCTAGACAGCCTAGCAGGCACTTTACCAATGAATTACATCCCCAGCAGTACTATGCATTTCTTGAATTTAAATATTTTTAGACAATAAAGAGTCTTCTCAGAGAAGTCCTGGAGTAGACTGCCTCCCTGACAGCCCTGCATTGCTAACAAGCATCTGAAACTGTTTTCATCCTGCTCTTCTCCAGAGATGGAAAAATGAAGAATTTGCAGTTAAACGGATGTCTGGCATTTGTTTCAATGTAATCTACTGACAGAGGGAATAGGATGGGGGAATATAGATGAAACAAAATTGGCCATAGCTGGGTAATTGTTGGAGCTAATTGATGTCTACCCAAAGGTTCATAATACTGTTCTTTCCACTTTTTATTAAGTTTGAAAATTCCTATAATACCTTAATTCCCTGAACCTAATATTTTACCTTTTCTCAGACTCCATCCAACATGGTCCATTGGATTATTTCAGTGGCTTTCTAGCTGGTCTCCCAGTTTACTTTCTGGTGTATTCTCTGAACACATCATCCAAGTGATCTTGTTAAAACAAATCAGATCGAGTCACTCTTCTACTTAGAATTCTCCAATGACTTCTCATCTCATTCCCAGTAAAGCCAAAGTCTGTTCCAGTGGTTTTCAGGGCCCTATGTGATGAGATGGACTCAGTTCTACTCCACACCCTCTCACTCTGCTGCTGCCATGCTGGCCTCCCTGCCTTCATAGTTCTTGAACTTGTTAGGTGTTCCTGCTAAAGGGTTTTTGCAGTAGTCATTTTATCTGCCCAGGAGCACTCTTCTTGATACCTACCTGCCTAGCTTCCTCCTTTACCTTTAGTTCTGTATTGAACTATCATACTCTCTATGAAAACTTCCCAGGCCACTCCATTTAAAACCATAACACTGTCCACAGTGCACTCCTGGCCCCCCTTTTAAACTTGTTTCCTTAGCATACTACATATTTTATTTATTTATCACCTGTCACCCCCCCATTGGAATTCTGTGTCCATACAGGCAAAGACTTTATCCTACTTTGTTCACTGACAGACCAGCATGCCTGATGCATGGCAGGTACTTAGTAAATATTTGTTGAATAACAGGTCTCCATTTTATAAAGTAAAATGAAACAAAGCCTAGGAATATCTAAAATTTTCAGCATCTTAAAGGTGTGGTTATCCATTTTAATTTTGAGAACTTCGTTGTGCAAATATAATACCATGTGTCTAATAACTCTTCAAGAAATATTTAGAAACAATTCGAGGGAGAAATTCAATGTACCTTAAACCTAGTAGTTACTTTAACAAATGGTTTCCTTCTTTTTGTGTATGTGTCCTGGTCATTGATTTCATGAAAGAAATCAACAGACTTGGTAAAAGTACTTTTTCAGTTAGATTGAATATTTTGTAAGTTTTTCTTACGTGACAGCAAATCACCTATAGATAATTGTTCTAGAAAGAATGATATTCCTAGTCACTGATGCTGCTATTTTGTACCTCTGGGAACTTTAACCTTTGGCAATTTTTACCTCTAAGAACCTTTAAAATCTAGTATCAAGCAGGGCATGGTAGCACTCGCCTGTCATCCCAGTTACTCTCGAGGCTGAGGCAGGAGTACTGCAAGTTCAAGACCCCCCGGGCAATTTAGCAAGACCCTGTCTCAAAAAAAGAAAAAGAGCTGGGAACTTTGCTTGGTGGCAAAGCACCCCGGGTTCAATTCTCAGTACCACAATAATATAAAATGAAATCTAGTATCAAGTGTTACTGTTTTAGAGGGGACAAGTCTTCTAAATGACTTCCTTGTTTTAGGAAGGAAAGAGCTGTGTTTTAACAGACTGCTTCTCTTTGGACATTCCAAAGCAGGTGTGAGTTAATGAAAATGATTATATTGCTGACCCATCAAACTTTGGTATGCTTAGACTCTTAAATATTTTGCTTTAGATGTCTGAAGGAAGGACTCTGCTTGGGATTGTGTTAGCATTATGCAGTGTTAAAGTTTTTCATTTTTGTTTTTTATATTTTACTGTTTATAGGGTTTTTAGATAAATTAGACACACACACACACACACACACATATGTGCCACCATGCTTGGCTAAATATTTCATTATGTAAAATTCAGAGTTAATAGTTAAAATTTTGATTGTACTTAAAATAGCATAAAGTAGTAACTTGGTATTCTTGAGTTATCTAATTGTTACATATACCTAAAATGTACATGCTTATTTTTTATTTTTATATGTCATAATAATTAGATATAATTGTGTTGGTCTCCTGAATACATTTTGCTACAAAGTAAATAAAATCAGCATCATGGAAAGAATAAATAACTAAGCATAAGTAAAAACTATAATCTTTGGTCTCAGGTGTGAAAGTCACAAATGTCGTCAAATGATGGAAGATCCAGGATTCGGGAGAGGGGCTACAATGAGGTCCCAGGGGACTTGCCTCATCAAGATGGCACCATAAGAACCCTCCAGACTCTTCACGACAGTGAGCTGGCTGTAAGCGCTGATCCTTTGCCACCTCCCCCTCTCCCATTACAGCCACCATTCGGCCCAGACTTCTACTCAAGTGACACTGAGGAACCAGCCATTGCACCAGACCTCAAGCCCGTAAGACGCTTTGTCCCTGACTCCTGGAAGAACTTCTTCAGGGGAAAGAAAAAGGACCCAGAATGGGATAAGTCAGTGTCTGATATCAGATACATCTCAGATGGCGTGAAATGTTCACCTCCTGCCTCTCCATCAAGATGCAACCACCGTTCTCCCCCCAGCTCCTACAAAGATCCTTCTGGAGGGTCAGAAGGCACTTTTAATTCCCCAAAAGAGTCTGATGGGATGTTTCCCCAGGATCCCTATGCATCTCTGGACCGACACACACAGACAGCTCGAACATACAGTGAGAAGGTGGAGGAGTACAACCTGAGGTATTCCTACATGAAGTCTTGGGCAGGTCTGCTGAGAATTCTGGGTGTGGTGGAGCTGCTTCTGGGGGCCGGAGTCTTCGCATGTGTCACAGCTTACATTCACAAGGACAGCGAGTGGTATAACTTGTTTGGATATTCACAGCCGTATGGCATGGGAGGCGTTGGTGGCCTGGGCAGTATGTATGGGGGCTATTACTACAGTGGCCCCAAGACCCCTTTTGTACTGGTAGTTGCTGGATTAGCTTGGATTGCTACCATTATTGTTCTGGTTCTTGGCATGTCCATGTATTACCGAACTATTCTTTTGGACTCTAATTGGTGGCCCCTAACTGAATTTGGAATTAATGTTGCCTTGTTTATCTTGTACATGGCAGCAGCCATAGTCTATGTGAATGATACCAACCGAGGTGGACTTTGCTACTATCCATTATTTAATACTCCAATAAATGCAGTGTTCTGCCGAGTAGAAGGAGGACAAATAGCAGCAATGATCTTCCTTTTTGTCACCATGATTGTCTATCTTATCAGTGCTTTGGTTTGCCTAAAGCTCTGGAGGCATGAGGCAGCTCGGAGACACAGGGAATATATGGAACAGCAGGAGGTAAGTGATTTTACAATCCCTCATTTCTTATTGTTTTGTTTTATTTAATTTGCTCCCTTGTTAAAAATACATGATAGTTGGAACAGAAGGCTTTTATCAACATCCACCTACCTACCTCTCTCTTTCTCTTTCTCCCCCCCAACCCCCACCCCTACATATATATGTATTCATGTATCTGAGGTTGGAAAATCCTACCTCAGTGTCTGACGTCTGACTTGCTTTGACTGAGATAAGCCATTCTGGAGTTGCTTGTTGTTGCAAGTAGACACCAGATGTGTAATAGAAAGTTTGTCATCTGTGTTATTATGGCAGTGTGATGCTAAAGAGAAAAACAGCTACTGAACAACTGCTGAATTTCAGTAAAGAAAAATAACATACCTGTACAATAAGTGTCTCATCATTAAAATAACTTTGAGAATTTTTTTTTTTGATACTGGGTATTGAGCCCAGAGGCGCTTTGCCACTGAGTTACGTTTCCAGTCCTTTTCATTTTTTGAGACAGTGTCTCACTAAATTGCAGAGACTGGCCTTGAATTCTCGATCTTCCTGCCTCAGAATTCTGAGTTCCTAGGGTTATAGGCTTGAGTCTCTACACCTAGTTTGAAAACAATTTTGATTCTTTGATATGGTAAAATTTAGCCAGGAACAGTGGCACATGCCTATAATCCTAGGGACCCTGTCTCAAAATAAAAAGGGCTGTGGATGTAGCTCAGTGGTAGAGCATCCCTGGGTTCAATCCCTAGTATTGCAAAAATCAATAAATAAAAAGGCGTAATTTTTTTCAGTTGCAGGAGAAAAGTATTCATTGAAGTGTTATAATTAATTTCTTCCAATGAGTTAAATAATGCCAAATAAGAATATGGAAAACCACATTTTTTAAAAAATATTGAGAGGTTGAATTCTAATGAATATGCCCTGAAAACTTTCCTATTGGTTTTAATAATTCATTCTTACTGTGGGTTAAACTATTAAAATTAAAAGCTCTATGCTTGTTTTTATTTCTTGAATTTAACTAATTAAATGTAATGAGAACACTGAGATAAAAATAATGAGAATGATGAGAAAAATAATAATACCTGGAGGGGATAAGATTATGTAGCATCCCTATTTAAAATTATTTTAGTTTAATAGTAGCAAAAGTGTTAAAGTATATTCTGCTAGCTTCATTATACCCTGAAATAAACTGATGTTTTCCTATCTTCTTAAGAGATATAAGCAATAGGGGTTGGGGTTATAGCTCAGCGGTGGAGCGCTTGCCTTGCACACGTGAGGCTCTGGGTTCAATCCTCAGCACTACATAAAAATAAATAAAATAAGTAAAGATACTGTGTCATCTTAAAAAATATCGTTAAAAAAAGAGATATGAGCAATAGATTTTTCTGTGCCACTGAAAATATCAATATTTACCTTAAAATTTTTCTTAATTTTAAATTAACTGTATTATGAATTTTTCCTTTCCTATTTTTCCCAAAACTTCCTAGATAGTATATAATTGTACATGGTATAAATAAAAATTAAATCCTGTCCTCATAATAACACACATTGACATGTATTTTGTTTTTAATCTTTTGTAAATTTAATATAGAACAATTGTAAATAGTTTTATAATAAGAACCTACGTGTTATATAAAGAACCTCAAAGTTTCAGTGTGATTCATAATTTATTATTACAGAAGACATTCATCTTTCTAGAATCCTACTTAGATTCAAATCATTTCTAAAAATTTATTTTGGCACTCTAAGCATATTTCTTAAATTTACATCTCTCTGTACAAATAAAGAATTTAAAATTTTAATCAGTGTGAAATCCAGATAGTGAGACTCTTCTACATAATTTTATGCTAGTTTAATAAGTTATTAAATTTTAACATTTCAAAGTTCTGCATTAATGATTATCATTATTAGCATGATACTTTATTTTGCCTTTCTCAACAAACATTTGTTTCTATAAGATTTTTCATAACACTTGATTAGACCTGAGTTACCTCTGTTGTTGAAGGCTGTACCTATTTGTGTATTGTTATAACTTCCTAAAGGTTAGAAAATGTTAGTATTCTTGAATTTTTCTATTAATTTTATATGATAAACATGTTAGCTCTTTGATCATTCAAGGTAATGGTAGCCAGGAATAAATAAAATGTCAAGGTAATTCAAGCAATTTACCTAATAGTCTCCACAATCCCCTTATGTCCAAGTCTTCTCTATGCTCCTGATTGACAGGGAACTACAATTATCCATCCTCTGATGGCTGGGGTTATAGCTCAACTCTACTGCTGAGCTATAACCCCAGCCCCTATTGCTTATATCTCTTAAGAAGACAGGAAAACATCAGTTTATTTCAGGGTATAATGAAGCTAACAGAACATACTTTAACACTTTTTGCTACTATTAAACGAAAATAATTTTAAATAGGGATGCTACATAATCTTATCCCCTCCAGGTATTTTTATGGATCTACTGATCCATAAAAATCTAGGCGCATGAGTAAGAGGAACATCCATTAAGTAGAGGATCAATCTCTGTATACTTGAAATTAGGCGGTAAATGCAAGTGGATGAAAATATTTGTAAAGTAACTTAACACACCTTTGAAAAATCATTTTTCACTTTTTGTTCCAGATAAATGAGCCATCATTGCCATCAAAAAGAAAAATGGTGAGAAGAAAGTCTACTTCATGTTTTGCTTTCTCTAGATTTGTTATATACTTTTCTCTTGTGTCTGTTTATCTACATAGTAGCAACATCCATTTGTGAAAGTAAAGCTATTACAATGAGTTCACCAGAAGACTTCCAATTTTTCCTAATACTAAAAAAAAAAAAAAAAAAAAAAAAATGACTCTGAGCTATAACTCCTTTTAATTTTGTAAATGGAAGTTTATATAAGTGAACATAGCTGGTTTTCCTTAAAATTTAATTTTTTATATGAAAGTAATTTTCCTAATTTGTTTTTCCTTTAGCTGTACTGAGGATTAAACCCAAGGCTTTGGGTTAGGCCATAGAATGCCAAGCACATACTGAGCTAAAAGACCTTTTTAAAATTTTTTTAGTTTGAGACACAGCCTTGCTAAGTTGCTGAGGCTGTCCATGAACTTGCAATCCTCAGGTGTGCACTACCATGTCCAACACATCATTTGTCTTTTAAATTATTTGCTATTCTTTTTTTTATTCTTCTCATCTTGTTTTCAGATGTCAAATATTTGTAATGTTAGGGTGTTCTTATTCCATACTTTACTAGCTGTGTGACAGCAGGCAATTTTTTTTTTTTTGTACCGAGGATTGAATCAGGGGTACTTAACCACCGAGCCACATTCCTAAACATTTTTATATTTGATTTTGAGGCGGGGTCTTGGTAAGTTGCTTAGGGCCTCACTAAGTTGCTGAGGTTGCTTTGAACTCCAAATCCTCCACCTCAGCTTTCTGGAATTACAGGCATGTACACACCTGGCTGTAGCAAGTTTTTGAACCCTTCCATGCTTCTGTTTATTTTCTTTTTTCTTTTTTTTTTTTTAGTTGTAGATGGACACAATATCTTTATTTTATTTTTATGTGGTGCTGAGGACCGAACCCAGTGCCTTCCACATGTGAGGTGAGCACTCTACCACTGAGCTACAGCCCTAGCCCTTTGTTTCTTCATGTGTAAAACTGGAATAATAATTATAATTTCTACCTCATAATTTGCTGAGAGGATTCTGTGAGGTGCCATTATCATAAATATTTACGTATATGTGAATAATAATTTTTTTCTGAACCTAGGATTGCTCTACCTCTGTGCTACATTCCCAGCCCTTTATTTTATTTTTTGAGACAAGGTCTCAATAAGTTGCCAACATTGGTCTCAAATTTGTGATCCTCCTGCCTCAGCCTCCTGAGTCTCTGGAATTATAGGCACGAGCCACTATACCCGGCATAGTATATTTTAATAATCACAATTTTACCCTTATTGAAAAGTTCCTTTTCAAGATATTGGGCATTATTTCTAAGCAATAAGAATCAGCCTTTGGATTTGTTTGAAAGGGGTAATATTCTCTTAGTTCAAAATTCGAAAGTGTCTGTTAACAGTCTTCTCTGACTTCTGTACACAGCTTTCCAGTTCTCCTGCCAGTTGGGGGAGGGGGCTGGAGTTTTTATCAGTGTCTTGTGTTCCTTTCAGAAATGAACAGGATATATATATATCTCACAAGTCTATACATAGTTACTCTGTTTCCACCTTTTACATACATGGTAGGATGCTATGTACTATTAGGTTCCTTACTTATCTCTCTTAATACTTTCTAAGATATTTTCTTTTTTTAATATTTATTTTTTAGTTGTAGTTGGACACAATACCTTTATTTTATTTATTTATATGTGGTGCTGAGAATGGAACCCAGGGCCCCGCATGTGCTAGGCAAGCTGTCTACCACTGAGCCACAACCCCAGCCCCCTAAGATAATTTCTTATTAATACATAAATAGTTTCTGCTCCCCCCCCCCCCCCCCCTCATACTAGGGATCGAACCCCGGGGTACTTTTCCACTGAGCTACATCCCAGCCCAAGGATATGCCTTCCCATTTTGATTGCCAGATTGTCCTATTAAGGTTTCTTTTGTTGTTGTTGTTGTTGGATGGTTGGTTGGTTTTTGTTTTGGGGTGGTTGTTTTTGCAGTGCTGGGAATTGAACCTATGGAGGTTTTAACCAGCTTTCATTCCCAGCACTGCAGGTTTCCTCACCTTGTTATATAGTGTGTTAGGAAGTTTGTTGACATTTGTCAAAATGACATGTGAAAAATGGTATTTCTTTGAATCAGTTGAATCAGGAATGAGATTGTGCATTTCTCATATGTTATATTTACATTTTCAAGTTATTGATGGATCTGTTCATATTCTGTTCATTTTTTCCTCTAAGTTGCTAATTTTCACAAATCTTTTAAATGAATACTTTTTTTGTGGGGCAGGGATAGTACTGGGGATTGAGCCTGGGATGCTTTACCACTGAATTATATCTCCAGTCCTTTCTTCTTCTTCTTTTTTTTTTTTTTTTTTTAATTTTGAGATAGGGTCTTATTAAATTGCTGAGGGTTTTGCTGAGTTGCTGAGGCTGGTCTCAAACTTATGAACCTCCTACCTTATTCTCATGAGCCTGTGTAAGTGAATACATTTTGAAGATACCTTATGAACTGGGCACAGTGGCTTACACTTGTACTGTCAGCCCAATGGGAGATGGAGGCAGGAGAAACCTGAGTTCAAGGCCAGCCTATACAACATGGACAACATAGCAAAACCCTATTTCAGAAAATAAAAAATATATATATTCTTCATAATATCTCTTTTAACTTGTAACTTTATTCTTGACATTGTGACACACAAACAATTTGAAAATGTTTTATTCACATTGAAATAAGGGATTTATAAAGAAGATGTACAGTCTGTCCAAGGGATCATGATTAATACATCAATGTCATCATTAATTCATTCACTGAACAAACATGTGCCATTTTGGCTATAGACTCATGATAATGAACATTAAAAAGCCCATTTTCAGAGGCTGGGGTTGTGGTTCAGCGGTAGAGCACTTAGCACATATGAGGTCCTGGGTTCGATGGATCCTCAGCACTACATAAAAATAAAGTAAAATAAAGGTATGTGAATTGTGTGTGGGGGGGTGGGGATTAAACCTTGGACCTTGCATGCTAGGGAAGCACTCTACCTTGGAATGATGTCCATAAAGGTGTGTGTGTGTGTATGTGTCTATATATATATATATATATATATATATATATATATATATATTTCAAATATATATATTTCAAAGGGCTTGCAAATCTAGTGGAAAAGAAAAACAGAAAAATGATTAGCAGTGTGTGATGTGTGTATATATGTAAATGAGAGAGATGGAGATCTTTTAGGGACCATAAAATTAAATAGTTGGCTTACAGATTGGTGCTTCAGCTTATAGATGATAATGTCTCAAATTCAACATTAGTAGGTGGTCAAAGCATCCTTTGGGTTATATAATTAGTCATATTTTTTAAAGAATCAATTGTATTAAACAATTTCTGACACATTGAATTATCTGAATTATAGTTGTTATGGCTTAACAACCTTGCTGGGATTTTTCCGGATAGCCATAGATGTTTAGAAATCAAGTTGACCAGTCTGGAATGACCAGGTGTACAGCAAGTGAGGCTGGCATTAGCTGGTTTATGGAAGATTGCAGCACTCCACTTTCGTGGGGCAGCATAGACATAGTGCTACAAGCATATATATACTTTAAATATTGGGTATAGAATTACAATGATTCTATTTTGAGTGAGTTTCTTTTGGTTTGTTTTTTATCATGCTTTGTCATAACTTCTCATTCTCAAAGTATTTTAGTTAGTTTTTTATTTATTCAAAAAAATTTTTTGAGACTGGGTCTCACCAGTAGCCCAGGCTGGTCTCAAACTCCTGGGCTCAAGTGATCCTCTTGCCTCAGCCTCTCCCAGAGCTAGTGTTAGAGACTTGTACTAGCTTGTATTTTTTTGATATTTATTGCTTGCTCTGAGGATATTCATTTCAATTAGACTTGTTCTTATTCCATGACAGTAGTATTAATTAGAGCAAGTTAAATAAGGGAAGGTACTTGAAAGCTGTGAATTATATATATTGTACACCCTGAAACTGATAATACTGGTTGCCTTTTAGGGAGAGCAGTTGGGTAACTGGGAAGATGAGAGAGGAAGACTTAGTTTTCATTATGTTCCCTTTTAGACCTTTGAATTATATACCATGTGTACAGATTGTCAATTTAAAAATAAAATGTAAAACTTTTTAAAAGTCAAAGGTTAAGGACATCATTCCAAGGAAGAGTGCTTCCCTAGCATGCAAGGTCCAAGGTTTAATCCACACACACACACACACACAAATTCATATATAGGAAATTATTTTATAAAAGATGACAACCTGGGCTGGGGATATAGCTTAGTGGTAAAGCACAGGTATGCATGAATTCCCAGGTTTAATCACCAGCATCACAAACATAAATAGTAGATAAATAAATAAGCAAAACATACTTTTGAGTAGAAGAGTTTGTTAGCTTTGGAGGGTTAAAGTTATATATTTTGTGAATGTTATATATTTTGTCCAGCACCAGGCTGGACAGGGCTGTCTCATTGGGATATAGTGAAAATGTAGTGGTAGTTGCCTTTTTTGCCCAGGGTATAATTTATGGGCTTCCTGGTCAATTTCTCTGAAGTGGATGATGGGATTTACTAATGGAATTGAGTGCAGAACAGAGTCAACCCCAAATGCCAGGACAAATTGGAGAAAGTTGCCCCAGAAGATAGTGCAGTCAATATTATTGTTTGGTAAGAACGTACGAGTGCGGGCTGGGGCTGAGTACTTGCCTAGCATGTGTGAGGCACTGAATTCAATCCTCAGTACCAGATAAATAAATAAATAAATATGTCCATCTACAACTAAAAAATAAATAATTGGGCTGGGGTTGTGGCTCAGTGGTAGAGAGCTTGCCTGGCATGTCTGAGGCACTGGGTTTGAATCTCAACACCATGTATAAATAAATAAAGTCCATTGACAACTTTAAAATATATATATATATATTAAAAATAAATAAATAAACAAAAAACGAATGTCCAGCCGGGCATGGTGGCACACCTCTGTAATCTCAGAGATTTGAGAGGCTTAGGCAGGAGGATTGGAAGTTCAAAGCCAGCCTCAGCAAAAGCGAGGCACTCAGTGAGACCCTATCTCTAAATCAAATACAAAATAGGGCTGGGGATGTGGCTCAGTGGTTGAGCCCACTGAGTTCAATCCTCAGTACTTCCCCACCCCAAAAAAAAGAATATGCAGGTGGCACAGGATTAGGATGCTCTGTCAGAGAGTTCTAACCCTAGAACTCTTTCAGGCTGCCCTGGGAGGTTGGCATATGGCATGTTGAGGTGTGTTACAGGGCTCCTGATTCTGAGAGGTACTGGAATGGTCAGGAATAACCTTAGTAGATGCTGAAACTTCCAGTCCCACAACTCTTTTGGAAATCATATGAATACAATTAGCTTCCTCTACTATTTCAAAATATGGGAATTAAGCTGGATATGGTAGCACACGCCTGTAATTTCAGCTACTCTAGAGGCTGCAGCAGGAGAACTACAATCGAAGCCAGCCTGGGTAACTTGACTCTGTCTCAAAATAAAATTTTTAAAGAGGAGCTAGGCATAGTGGCGCACACCTATAATCCCAGCAGCTTGAGAGGCTGAGGTAAGAGGATCGCAAATTCAAAGCCAGTCTTAGCAATTTAGTGAGGCCCTAAGCAACTGAGTGAGACCCTGTCTCAAAATAAAAAATAAAAAGGGCTAGGGATGTGGCTTGGTGGTTAAGTGCCCCTGGGTTCAATCCCAATACCAAAAAACAAACAAACAAAAAAACACAAGGAGGTCTACTGTATAGCTCACTGGTAGAAAGTACAGGCCTCGAAAGTACGAAGCCCTGAATTTGATCCTCAATACTGGGGAAAGTAAAAAAAGATAAAAGAGCTAAAGCCAAAAAGCATCCTTTTAACAGTCTCTTTTCCTGGAGATAGATCTCTATGGATGAACAGATTTAGGTATATTCTAGAGATAGACCTTAATGATCTCATTATTTAGTTGATGACTCTCTATTGGATTTGCCCATGAAATACCTGATAGAAAGGACAGTATCTCCAGTTTTCATTGGGTATGATTTTCACCTGCTTCCTTCCTAAATCAGCAGGGAAAAATCCAAGACTAGCCTGGGAGAGGCAGTGGCATGTGATGAAGAGGAAATGAACTGTAGAATTAGCTATCTGAATTATAGTGTCAGAGCAGCTACTTAGTAACTCTGTAATCCTGTGGAAATTACTTACCTTCTCTGAACTTCTGTTTTCTGTCCCTTGTTTGGACTATATACTAGGCCACCCCTTATTATTTTGTACATTAACAAATATAATTTTTAAAAAGCTAAGGTCATTTGGAAATGAATTAATATACAGACATAAAATATGATCAAATAGAGACAGCAGCAAATTCTAGTAAACCCTCAGTGCTGAGTAGGTATTTCAAGCTGGAAAAGTCAAAATCTAATCTGGGCCTTGAGGATGAGGGTATGGGTTTAGAGTGGAGGCTTTATATTGTTACATTATACCCTCTAAGGGGAAAAGAATTAGAAAACTGACAAATGCACAGAAAAACAAATTCACTGGCTTTCCCTGTTTATAACTTTAAAGGATATATTCAGCCTATTTTTTAATTTGAAAAGCTTAATAATAATATCCATAGCATTACTTGTCCTGTTGCTTAATTATTTTCTATTATATCACAATAAAGCATTTCTGATATTTGCTGACGAAACTGAAATTGGTTAGAAGCAAAGAAAGGTCACATTAAAACTGGGGCTGCAGGCCCTTTCTCCTCCCTTGGATGTTTGTAATTAGGAGCACTATTTAAGAGTGGCCTATCCAAGGGCTGGAGTCTAATATTTCCCACCCATGAAAGCCTAGAGGTTTTAATTCTTTGTCTGATGTTTCAATTTCTTTCCAGTTGAGTTCTCCACACTGATGATCAATGAGATTTACCCAAAACAACAACAACAACAAAATGTTAAGATACCAAATTTTTAAAAATATTAAAGCAGACAACATAGTCTATCTGGAAATTCAACTTCTTAAAAACTCTCTTTTCATATTAAAAGGTAAATCTGAGAATTAGAATGGGCAAGTAAGGTAAATGATAGTTCTTGCTTAACTTTTTTTTTTTTTTAAATCTAGAAACAAATTAATTATGGCTTCTCCTACCCATTGTGACTACCTGGGCAGAATTCATGACTTTGACCAGGAAATCTGAGATTAATGCCTAGGGCCATGTTCCATAGTTGCTTCCTCAGCCAGCACCAGAGAACTAGATCATCAAATGTTTAGAAGCTAAGCTAAAGAAAGATGCCACAAAATGGAAATCCATTTTTTCAAGCCAAAAAAGTGTCCCTTGATGTTTAATACCATGATTCATTTTCAAGATTAAACAGAGGAATTCATTAGGATGAAGAAATGGCACCCTAAAAAAGAAAAAAAAAATGAAGAAAAAAGAAATGGCACCCTAACACAAAACACAGTAGAATGAATACTAACCTCAAAATGTGTTCCCTAAAATATCCTTGCTGTTTCCTCATTCTGTACCCACTTGCATTTCTGCTGCTTTGGGCCCAAGTGGCTTAGCATGTTTTCTGCCTTGAGATGATCTGGTTTCCCTTCCACCCAGTGTTGTGGTGTGGAGCTTCTCCTTTCTGTAATCTCCCTTGGGCTGGTTAACAACCTCCAAAGCCGATCCAGTCCCAGGGGTGTGCTATTTGGTGAGTTAAGAGCTGGTGGTTTTTAAAATGAGCTAATGTTAAGCCAAACCTCAAAGCTAGTCTAAAGTAGGGATGTCAGAAAACAAAGGACTTAAAAAACTGCCTGGCAAGATGGAGAGCAAGGTTTCAAAATCCTGTTTTGTATTTTGTTTGCACTGAAACAAGGCCCCTCCCCAGCCACTCAACTCAGCAAGTGTTTTTCAAAGGCTTAAGGGGTTAACAGAGGGAAAGAAATAACTGCACCAAAGAAGAATCATGATCCCAAGCATGCTCTGACCTTCCCCTAGTGGTAGAGCATTGCCTGCTCTGTTCCTCTCAAACTCCCCAGTGCTTCTGGAACTTTGGATGTCAACAATACACATTTAAATAAGCAGGTTTCTTGAGGTTATTATTTTTTTATGTTTTAATGCACCATGGGCTAGGAATATGGCTCAGTGATAGAGCACTACCCTAGCTTGCTGGAGTCCCTGGGTTTGATCTCCAGCACTGAAAAAAAAAAAAAAAGGTAGCAATGAAAATGTAGCTCAGCGGCAAACTGGTGGCCTTGCATTTGGAAAGCCCTGGGTTCCATCCCCAGTACCAAAAAGAAAGAAAAAGAAGAACCCCACCTAAATAAATAAATAAGAAAGGTTGGGGTGGATAGCAATGAACCAAATAGTTCTGGGTTGTTTTTTTTTTTAACTTGTTTTGTTTTGTTTTGTTTTTGTACTTGTAAGTGGACAGTATACCTTTATTTTATTTGTTAATTTTTATGTGGTGCTAAGGATTGAACCCAGTGTTTCACATGTTCTAGGCAAGCACTCTGCCACTGAACTATAGCCCCAGCTCTAGTTCTGAGTTTTAATTATGGCTTTTCTACTTAATTGATGTATGACCCTGGAGAATTTACTTAACTCTCTCCTAACCTCACCTCTTTAGGTATAAAATGGAAACCTCCCTTCTGTCATCCACCAGCCTTTCTTGTCCAATGGAAGCTCTGAATAGCCTTTTCCCAACCCCAGAGATGAGCATCCTCCTTTGCCTGCACATTCAGGGTGGATTCTGCTGGTTCTTCCAATCTCCCTTCTCTTAGCTATATCAGCCCTTAAAACCTGTCCCCTAATACTTCTCTGGGCCGTTTCATCTTGCATTTTCTTTCTTTTTTCCTTAAATGATGGAGATTTTTGTTGTTGTTGTTGTTGTTTGTTTGTTTTTCTTTTTTTGTTAACTAAAGGGTAACTTACTTCACCATCTCCAGAATCCAGAACTCTCATAGCCCCTTTCAGGAATCACAGTTTAAGGACACTTAGGCAAGTTAGAAACATAGGCTGCCTTTATTCTGTGGTTCCAGGAACATCTCCCTTACATTTAAAAATACTGAGGATCATCAAGGTGTGGTGGCGTATGCCTGGAATTCCCATGGACTTAGGAGACTGAGACAGGAGTATTACAAATTCAAGGCCAGCCTGGGCAATTTAGCAAGAACTAGTCTCAAAATGAAAAAAAGGGTGTGGGAGGGCTGGATATATAACTTAGGGTAGAGTGTCCTGGGTTTTATCCCCAGTACTAGGAAATTTTTTTTAATTAATTTTTTTTAAAGTACATAAGATCAGAAAGAGTTTCTTTGCTCTCTTTTAAAAATAATAAAAATGGTATAACTCATTTCTATTCCTTCTTCTCAGTAGCTAGTTTTTTTTGCTGCCAGGGATGCTGGGGATTTAACCCGGGGCAATTTACCGCTAAGCTGTGTCCCCAGCCCTTTTTGTTTTTTATTTTGAAACAGGGTCTCACTAAGCGCTTAGTTTGGTGATCAAAGATGTGATCCTTCTGCCTCAGCCTCCTAAGAATTCTGGATTACAGGTGTGCACTTCTGCACCCAGCTGAATTTCTTATTTTGAACTATTTTAAAAATTATTTTATAATTACTTTATGAATCCTAAATAAGTAAGTACTTAAGACTTCTAAGGCCTCATTTTATCATCTACCTTTAACATATACACATTGGAGCTGGAGGATGTTTTCCCTATTATATATACCATTTTCCAAATGTGAGTCCCCTTAGCTATTACAAAAACAGCACACCCTGTGACTATAAAACATTTAATTCTAGGGCTTGGGCTGGGGCTTAGTGGTAGAGCGCTTGCCTAGCATGTGTGAAGCACTTGGTTTGATCCTCAGCACCACATAAAAATTTTAAAAAATTAAAAATGTTCAAAAAACCACAAACATTTAATTCTAAAGTGAAATGCTAATTAGGATTTCTACTTTTTGTCTTCCTGCCCTCTCCCTATTGTCCCCTAAGAATAAATTCCGGTGGTTTTGCTTTCCTACTCCTGTGTATATATCATTCCTTTTTTTCTCCCAACCTGCAGTGTGAAATGGCCACCAGTGACAGACAGAGAGACCCAGAAGTTAATTTCAAAGACTTGAGAACAACAAAAATGAAACCTGAATTGCTGAGTGGACACATCCCTGCGGGCCACATTCCTAAACCCATTGTGATGCCTGACTACATGGCGTGAGTATCTACCCCGAATTCTTCAGGGTAGAAGTTGAGGAGTCCCATTTGGGCCTTTCATTTTTTTGCATGTCTCCACATTAATGCTCTGCTTGAAATCATTTATGTGAATAGTTGTTTGTATCCAAGAGATAATATACTGAACTGAAGGTACAGTATAGTCAATGAAGAATAAGCTAAGCTGATTTCCCCTACATCCTGTTTTAGTGATAAAGTTGTAACTTTGGTTTGTTTTTTCCTCAGAAAATACCCTGTGATTCAAACAGATGATGAACGGGAACGCTATAAAGCTGTGTTCCAAGACCAGTTTTCAGAGTATAAAGAGCTATCTGCAGAAGTTCAAGCTGTCTTGAGGAAATTTGATGAGCTAGATGCAGTAATGAGCAGGTTGCCACATCATTCAGAAAACCGACAGGTCAGTGTCTGCAACTGCCTAGGAAGACCACTGAAGTTTAGAGGAGAAATAAAATCTGACCATTTAAAAAATCTGGAACTCTCTGGGCTGGGGTTGTGGCTCAGTGGTAGAGTGCTTGCCTAGCATGTGTGAAGTACTAGGTTTGATCCTCAGCACCACATTAAAATAAATATGTTAAATAAAGGTATTGTGTCTATCTACAACTCAAAAAAAAAAACTTTAAAAAAATCTGGAACTCTCTATATCTGCTATCTCTTCTAGGGAAGTATTTTAAATTTTCAGGATAACTAGTTAAGCTGGGTGCAGTGGTGCACACCTGTCCTAGCAACTTCAAAGACTGAGGCAGGAGGACAGACAGCAAGTTAAGGTCGTCCAGGGGAATTTAGCAAGATACTGCCTTAAAATAAAATAATAAACTGACTGGAGGCATAGCTAAGTGATATAGCATACATGAGGCTCTTGGGTTCAATTCCCACTACCACAAAAAAAGACAAAAAGTTACTAGTTAAGATTACCATTCAGGGCTGGGGATGTGGCTCAAGCGGTAGTGTGCTCACCTGGCATGCGTGCGGCCCGGGTTTGATCCTCAGCACCACATACAAATAGGGATGTTGTGTCCGCCGAAAACTAAAAAAAAAAAAAAAGATTCTTTAAAAAAAAAAATATTACTATTCAAGGGAATGAGGGTATATAGCTCAATGGAAGAGTCCGTGCTTTGTATATGGTCTTGGGTTTAATCTCCAGCACCAAAGAAAAAGAAATTGCCAAATTGCATGAGTTAATGCCTTTTCCTTTACTTATTAAATTTACTTATTAATTATTTGCCTATATAAGTAAAATATAAATGTGCCTAAAATACATACTCACTCACAGTCCCAAAGAAGGGCGGCACACTCAAATTGAGATGAGGGGAGGAAGGGTATAAGGAACCACCAATGTAGTGCATTTCCCTGCCAGGCCAACCAAGGGTTTCCAACCCAGGCTTAGGGCACAGAGAGCAGATCCGAAGCTACAGATGCGAGCTACTAGGTACACTATCAGAGTGATCTCTGTGACTATGGCAGAGGGCCAATGGGACTGAAGCTTTCTGATTGATTGATTGATTGATTGGTACTAGGGATTGAACCCAGGGGTGCTTTACCAGTGAGCCACATCCCCAGCCTTTTGTTTTTTATTTTAAGACAGGATCTTACTAAGTTGTTGAGGTTAGCCTTGAACTTGTGATCCTGTTGCCTCAGGCCTCCAAAGACACCAGGATTTCAATGTGCACCTTTTATATCTCTGCTTCAAGAATACCTCGTAATCAGTGACAATTTAGTGAGGCCCTGCTAAAAAAAAAAAAAAAAAGAGGAAAAAAAGGCCAGGAGCAGTGGCACATGCCTATAATCCCAGTGGCTCTGGAGGCTGAGACAGGAGGATATGGAGTTCAAAGCCAGCTTTAGCAAAAGTGAGGCACTGAGCAACTCAGTGAGACCTTGTCTCTAAATCAAATACAAAATAAAACTGGGGGTGTGGCTCAGTGGTCTAGTGCCCCTGAGTTCAATCCCCACTATGAACAAAGAAGAAACTGAGGATATAGCTCAGTGGTAAGATGTTCCTGAGTTCAATCCCCAATACAAAAAAAAAAGAAAGCAGTGATACAATATATTACACTTTATGTCCGTCATTTCCACTTGTTAACTATTATGAATAATGCTGCTGAGCACATTTGTGTTTTTTTTTAATGGAGAAAATATATTATAGTCTATTGCTTAAATTTTTTTATGGTATTAAGGATTGAACCCAGGGACATTTTACCACTGAGCTATATCCCCAGGCTCTTTTTAAATTTTGAGACAGATTCTCACTAAGTTGCTTAGGACCTTCCTAAGTTGATAAGACTGGCCTTGAACTTGTTATTCTCCTTCCTCTGCTTCCCAAGTTGCTGGAACTACAGTATATGCCATTGCATCCAGCTTTGTATGATTAAAAAATTTTTTAAATGTCAAATGCATTTATGCTTGTGAATATACACATGTGTATATACACATGTATACATATAAAATTTTCACCTGAGAACCCCAGTTAATTGGGCATCTTTGTTTTGACTATAGACTTGTAAGTATATATTTAAATTACTCATAATTATGAGCTGTCTAAACCAAATGTATACTGTAGTGACCTTTTCCCAGTTCTGAAGTGATGGAGTAGTGCTGAGACACTAGTACCATGAAGCAGGAGAAATCTAGCAAATCTAGGATCAGTTAGTACCATTTGGAAAACAAGTCAGGTTCACAAGTCTGAGAAGAGTGACCAAGTTTAAAGGCCATCAGAACGCAGGAAGAGCTGGAAATGGTGGTACAAACCTGTAGTCCCAGCTATACAGAAGGCTGAGGCAGGAGGGTCCAATTAAGCCAGGAGTTCAAGGCCAGCTTGGGCAACAGGCTAAGACCCCTTCTGTTTCATACCCAAAGAAGAGGAATGTAAGGAAGAACAAGCAGACCATAGTGGATCAGCACAGTTGGGAAGAGAAGGCTAAATGAGAGAAATGATCCTGAAAACCCTGATTGCCACTGTAGCCTTTGAGCAGAAACCCAGTGTCTCAGCATGTGTACTTTGTAGGAATGCCACAAGTTCCAGCATATAAGACTATAGTTGGGGGAATCCATGGGTTCTGGTTAGAGTGGGGCTGAGAGACTATCATACCATGATGTGCCTACATAATTAATAACAGTCATTACCCCTGATTTTCAATATGACATAGCAAGAAAGTAATAAAACTGATAGGCTCATGGATATAATCTGTGTCTTCTCTGGACCTTATCTAAAGTAGATTCATTAATTGTATCAGAAAAGTTAACTTTTCATAGACCACAGGCTGAGCTTTGTCTTGGCAACAGTGTGCAAGGCTCATTCATTTTCCCACCAGGTCCCTAGGGAAGCTTGGGAGGCATTTCAAAACCCCATGGGCTTATTAAAGCACAGGTTCTCTCACATACCTGGTTGTGCACCCTTTAAAAATAAAACAATCACAAGATTTTTCTGAGACTGTAAAGTAGGAATATTGTTCCAAATAATCCCTCTGGTCCTCACCAGCTCATGAATTCAGTGTCTGTGGCAGGTTAGAGTGAGTTTTACCACTCTCGTCTCTTCCTGCATCTCCAGTACAGCTCCCAAACCCTGGAAGCTAATTTAATCCTGGCCCAGGACCTATAATTGTACATTACCACTGAGTTACCAAGTTCATTTTCACTGTTGGCAAGTAATCAAAACACAAACAATACTCATGGTCTCAGAATATAAAAGATATTGAAGAATTAAAATATTCTGGGAAAAGGATATGGGTAAGTGATACAAAATTGTCTCAAGAGAAATTTTAGGACTATAAATTATTACACTTTTTATTAGATTTGTTGTGTCTGGTAACCTCTATGCATAGTTTTGCATAAAAAAATGAAAGCATTGCTCTAGTAATGCCTTTTGAGCATTTAGTGTTCCCAAAGGGGATATCCTTTGGGAAGATTCAACCCCATAACACATTTTATATTTACTACATGTATTTATAGTAAATATAAAACTTAGAATAAAGTTAGAAGGAACCTTATATTAGCTATTTTCAAAAGTTAAATAGTCTCAATCTCTTAATCGCACTACCAGTTTCTTGAAAGGGAACTTTCCAAAGAAGATGAAAATGATAATAATAGCTAATGTGATTATTCATAAGCATCATTTCAAATAAGTGAACCTTCTCACAGCCCTTTGAGCTGTTTACAATTATGATTTCTACTTTTCCAATCAGGAAACTAAGTCTTGGGATAAACAGCTTGCCCAGGGTCACACAGCTGGCAGAAGATGGCACTAGGAGTAGGGTCTGGTTTTATGCAGTCAGTACCCTTTCTGTCTTGTTCATCCCTGAATCCCAGTGCCTCTCTGGCAGATAATAAGCCCTCAAACATTTTCTCTGTGAATATTGTCATAATAATTTCAGGCAAAAATTGTTTTCTAATTTCCAGTGTGTTCTGAGATATGATTTGAGTAAATGCAAATGTTTTAACTCAAATATACAATATATTATTTTTAGGAACATGAAAGAATTTCAAGAATCCATGAAGAGTTTAAGAAAAAAAAGAATGTGAGTAAAACAGTTTTCTTCTTCAGAGTGTATTCTTACCTGGATACACTGGTGGTAATTGATAAACTAGATTATTTTTGCTAAAGTACAGTAGTCCTTCCTTATCCATGGTTTTAACCGCAGTCAACCATATTCCCAAAAAATTAAATAGAAAAATGCCAGAAATAAACAATTAGTAAGTTTTAAATTGTGCACCATTCCAAGTAGCCTGATAAAATCTCACTCTCTCTCCAGCTTGCCCTGGTTGTGAATCATCCCTTTGTCCAGCACATCCACATTGTACTCACCACCCAAGTTGCTTAGGAACTTCCCAATTATCAGATTGACTGTCAAGATACCATATAATTGTATTAAAGTAATAAGATTTCTTAATAATGACCTAGAGCACAAGAGTAGAGATGGTGGCAATTTTACTACAGCATGTTGTTATAGTTGTTCTGTTTTATAAGTTGTTGTTAGTATCTAATTTATAAATTAAACTTTATCAGAGTTTAATTTTTAATTTTTCTGATTGTAGATTATAGAGATAAAGATATATGGAGATTATAGATATGTATATACACACATACTTAGAGAGAGGGAGTTTGCTGTATTTCATATTTATATGTCTTAAGACGTTACTTGTTAGGTATTGTGGGTGCTGCAGAAGGTGTTTTCTTGTAATCCCAGGCCTGAATACATTCTGCCCTGTTAGTTTCACAGCTTAGGAAAGTGGGGACTGACCTGTAACTCTTTACCACCCACATGTTCTTCAAAATGATTATTTTACATCTTTTTATGTCCACCCTTTACTTAATCTAATAAATCAATTAGAAACTGGAAAGACCTTATTAATCTTTCCTATACGTATTAATTACTTTTTATTATACTTCAAATTATTGAAGCTGCCTCAGCTCTTTATACTTCCCACTTGATATTGCTATAAAATTGAAGTGGCTTTAATTAAACACAGTCTATTTTTTTTTTTTTTAAGTAAGAACTTAACTGCTGTTCTGATTAGGGAGGTTTAAAAATCTTCTGCAAGTTATTCTGTGTAGGACCATTTTCTGGGATAATGGATTTTTGTGTTTATTGCTGAGAAAGCCAAATGCTAAAATAATAGCTATGTTTCTTTTATAGGATCCTTCATTTCTGGAAAAAAAAGAACGCTGTGAATACCTCAAGAATAAACTCTCTCACATAAAGCAAAGAATTCAAGAATATGATAAAGTAATGAATTGGGATATAAATGGTTATTCTTAAACCTTATCTGAAACAACTTTTTTATAACAAATTTGCTATTTATTTACTGCTTTTTTTATGCTAGTCTCTGTGGTAGAGAAGAAAGTGCCTCTTCAATCTGATCCTCATTGGCCTAACTGGCATGCAATGTTAATCAGTATGATTTGCTCAAACATTTCAGAACAGTTTCAGCTCATTGGGAGACTGAGGCAGGATGATTTTTAAGTTCAAAGCCAACTTGGGCAATGTCTTAAGACCCTGTCTCAAAACTAAAATTAAAAAAAGATCTGGGGATGTAGCTCAGTGAGAGAGACCCTGGGTTCACTCCCCAGTACTGGGAGGAAAAATCAAATCTACTAAGGGCCTTCACTGAGATGGGAGAAATCCTGTATTCATCTGTGTACAGTTCCATATTTGTTTATGTCATTAAAATATGTTGTAGAGCCAGGCATGGTAGTGCACGCCTATAATCCCAACGGCTTGTGAGGCTGAGACAAGAAAATCGCTAGTTTTCAAAGCCAGCTTCAGCAACTGTGAGACCCTAAGCAACTCAGTGGGACCCTGTCTCTAAATAAAATTCAAAATAGGGCTGGGGATGTGGCTCAGTGGTCGAGTGCCCCTGAGTTCAATCCCTGGTACCAAAAAAAAAAAAAAAAGTATTGTAACTTAGAGATCATATCTTTGTTGTATGATGAGCAAGTAGACTCTCCTCCTGGTGCTGCTTTTTCCTATACTCAGGCAGGTTCCTATATTTTTTCTAGGACAAATTTCCTAAGAGAAATTCTTAAAAGATTCTTCCTAAGGAAAAATGGATGATACCTTTTCACAGGTGTCATTTTTTCCCTTGAAAGAGAGTTGATTCCCAGATTGACATTATCAGGCTCTGTGATTTGGGGCAAGTTGCTTGACCTCTCTGTACTTGTTTCCTCTTCTGTAAAATGAGACTAAAATAGTACCTACCTCATAGATTGGTAATGAGGATTAAATGTATTCACAGTTGTAAAGGGTTTAGAAGGAGCCTCTTGACAATAAGCACTACATTAGGGTTGTGAACTCTGTAGGAGTGTTTGTGAAGTGAATAAACTTCATAGACTGAGTCTCAAGAAGAGGTCCATGGTGAGCAAACCCAGCCAACTGACTAAAGGCCACATGTCTCATGGTTTTCTTTTTGTCCTGTTAACCCTTATCCACACATGAACTTAGGCAGATGCTTCTCCATGGTTCTGTGGCCCATCAGGGTCCACCACAGCCTCCCTGTCTTCAATCAATGTCACTCTGCACAACTCCATGTCCCCACAGCCCAGCCTTTCCTGTACACGTGGAGCAGCAGGACTCTGTGAATGTTGTTCCCCTTACATCCCCTTAGACATCCATCCGAATGTCCCCTGATATTATATTGCTTGTTCTAGTGTTTATTGTTAATGTTTCATTCCTTAGTTCCCAGAATGCTTAGGCTGTGCTGTTTCTGAAGAGGTAACACCTAGGGAAGTGTGAGACCAGGAGAGCCTCTGACTAGAGCAACCTCACCTTCTGTGTCATGTTCTGGGGCCTCACATTAGCATTCTACTTTAAGAAGAGTTTCAGTGCTTTTATTTAAAAAAAGTAAAATATTACCATTTTGGTATACTGTAAATGATTAGATTAATATTGAAACTAAATGTTAAGGAAATTCGACTTTGTGAAACTTTATTTTACAATTGTGTTAATCTTCGAAATAAATGCTATAACACTAATTTTTAAAATTTTTTACATTAATAACTAGGTATATTAAAATTTCAATTACCTGTTATATTTTTGTGTTCTTTATTTTGTATTTGTTCTTTTTTGAAATAAGTGACAGTAGAGTATACTTTAACGTAACATACATGGAGTATAACTTTGCATTCTTGTGGTCATACATAATGTGGGGTTACCTTGGTCGTGTATTCATACATGAACATAGGAAAATTATGTCTGATTCATTCTACTGTCTATCCTAGTCTCATCCTCCCTCCCTTCCCTTCATTCCCCTTTGTGTAATTCCATGAACTTCTATTCTTCCCTCTATCACCCCTTACTGTGCGGTAGCGGCCGCATAACAGAGAAAATATTCAGCCTTTGGTTTTTTGGGATTGGCTTATTTCACTAAGCATGATATTCTGCATTTCCGTCCATTTACCAGCAAATGCCATAATTTTATTCTTCTTTGTGGCTGAAAAGTATTTCATTGTGTATATATACCACATTTTCTTTATCCATTCATCTGTTTAAGGGTACCTAGGTTGGTTCCATAGCTTAGCTATTGTGAATTGAGCTGCTACAAACAATGATGTGGCTGTGTCATTATAGTATGCTGATGTTAAGTCTTGGGTATACAGTGAATAGTGAGATAACTGGGTCAAATGTTGTTCCATTCTAAGTTTTCTGAGAAGTCTCCACACTCTGTGTGGTTTTATTGTTTGCTTTACTTGAATTCCTGTTTTCACTGTACACGTTCTTAAAAATATTTTCACCAATCAGAAAAAAAGAAACAAACCGGAAAATCATTGAAAACTCACAGGCTATGACATTCGGGTGATTGGCCTTTTCCCCATGCCCCAATATTTACAAAATTCAAAGTCAAGGCCACTGTATTGGTTTCCTAGGGTGGACTTAACAAAGTACCACAAACTAAGTGGCTTAAAACAACAGAAGTTTGTTGTCTCAGTTCTGCAGGCCAGAAGTCTGAGTGAGGTCAAGGTGTACACAAAGCTATGCTCCCCCTAAAACCTGCAAGGTAATCCTTCCATGCCCTTTCTTGCCTCTGGCAGTCTTTAACATTACTTGGCTGGTAGATGCATCTCTCCAATTCTCCAATCTCATGTGGTCTTCTCCCAGTGTCTTTATAGCTGTCATTTTATAAGAACATTAGTTATATTGGATTAGAGGCCTTATCTTAACTGATTGCATCTACAAGGGTTTATATTTCCAAATAAAGTCACACTCTGAAGTAATAGAGACTTCGGCATACCTTTTTTTGAGGGGACACAGTTGAACCCATAATAGCCACTTTTGATAAGTTGTGGGATTCAGAAGAAAAAAATACTTCCCTGTCATTTTTTTCCCCTTCTATCCAATTCTATCATGCATTTTAAATGGAAACAATATGAGGCTATATCAGTGTATCTAAAACTTGAAAATAGTATTCTTCACTCACCCAGTTATGGTTCATATATTTCATTGTGCCAGACGTTTAAGTGATTTTTATTTTGTTTTGTGGTGTTGGTGATCAAAGCCAGGGCCTTGCACACTCTGGGCAAGCACTACCACTGAGCCACACCCCAGCCCCAGATGCTGTTTTAGCATTGAAAATGTAGTAATTAACAAAACAGAGATCTTAGGGCTGGGGTTGTGGCTCATGGTAGTGCTAGCCTAGCATGTGTGAGGCCCTGGGTTCAATCTTTAGCACCACATATAAACAAATAAAATAGAGGTCTATTGACAACCAAAAAAATATTAAAAGAAAAAAAAAAAATAGAGGAAAACAAAAAAAGAGATCTTAGCCAGGTGAGGTGGCACATGCCTGTAATCCCAGCAGCTTGGGAGGCTGAGGCAGGAGGATTGAGAGTTCAAAGCCAGCCTCAGCAAAAGCAAGGTGCTAAACAACTCAGTGAAACCCTGTCTCTGTTTCAAATATAAAATAGGGCTGGAGATGTGGCTCAGTGGTTGAGTGTCCCTGAGTTCAATCCCCAGTACCAAAAACGAAAAAACAGATCTTAAGGGTTGATAATGAAGTGAGTATTGTTGTTACGTGCATTTCTAGAAAGTTTGTGTAGCGATCCTAATGTTGAGATGCACCAAAGTTCAAAAGATACATAACATAGACCTGTGTGCAGTAGCAAGCACCTATAATCCCAGCTACCTGAGAAGTTGAGGTAGGAGGATTGCTTGAACCCAGGAGTTCCAGGCTAACCTGGGCAACGTAGCAAAATGCTGTCTCAAAAATGTTTATACTATCATTGGGCTGGGGGATATAGAGAGTTTACCTAGCATGCATAAGACCTGGATTTGATCCCCAGCACTGGAAAGAAAAAAAATTGTACAAAAAGTTTTTTAAATAAAATCTAATGACTCTAAAAACTTGGAAAATAGAAAATAAAGATGTCTACCACTATGAATTCCACTCCCTGGTAATTTCCATACATATAATCATTTTTAAATTCTCTATTTATTGCTATCAGCTAGGTATGATGGTACATACTGGCAGTCTCAGCTACTTGATAGGCTGAGGCAAGAGGATTGCAAGTTCTATGCTAACCTCAGTCGCTTAACAAGACCCTGTCTCAAAAAAGAAAATAAATTTGGGATGTAACTCAGAGTACCACTGGGTTCAGTCTCCAGTACCACCAAAAAAAAAAAATTATACACACACACACACACACACACATATATATGTAAATGACAAATTCTAAAATATGACAATATTTTGTCTGAACAAAAACCAGATGGGTGCATTCGACACAGTTCCTTTTTTGTAAAGCTTCAAAGCAGACAAAATTAAAGTGATTTGTCAGAATAGAGGGTACTTTAGGAGAGTAAGACTAAACTGGGAAGGGACATGAGGTTTGAAAATGTTTTGTGTGCAGCTCTAGATGGTAGTATCACCAATAATAGTCCATTTTGTATTTCTATAACAAAATACCTGAGGCTGGAACTTTATAAGTAAAGTGGTTTATTTAGCTCAAGGTTCTGGTGGCTGGAAAGTTCATCAGCATGGTACTGGGATCCTGATAAGACGCCCTCTGGCAGCCTCCCATCATAGTAGAGAAGTAGAAAGTGAGACCCATGTGAAAAGAGACTTAGCACATGGGGTGAACTCTTTTTATAGCAAGCTATTCTTACAAGAACTAAATCACTTGTGGAGATTAGCATTAATCCTTTCCAAGAGCAAAGCCCCATAACCCAACCACCTTGCTGTAGGCCCCATCTCTTAAAGGTTCTACCACCTCAACACTGCCACACTGAGTACACAAATTTTGCAGGGAAAAACCACACCAAACCATAGCCGTGAGTGTATTTATTCATTTA